GTATTTTCTTATTTTAGTGGTTGCTTTAGGATTTAAAGTACTTATCTTTAACTTTGCACCGTTTATCTTCAAATGGTATTATACCACATCACATTTAGTGCAGGAACCTTATAGTAGAATACTTCTGTTTCTCTCTCCTGGCCTTTGTACTATTGATGTTGTGCATTTTACTTTTACATATGCTATAAGCCCCATATCACCATGTTATTATTTTTATCTAAGCATCAAAAATCCAAGAGATTTAAGTGGTAATAAATCTTATATATTTGTATCCATGGTGTTCCTCATTCCTTGTGTAGATTCATATTTCCATCTGGTGTCATTCTTCTGCCTCAAGGATGTCCTTGAACACTTCTTGTGGTGTGGATCTGCTGGTGGTTCATTCTTTCAACTTTTATATGTCTGGAAAAGTCTTTTTGTCACCTTCCTTTTTGAAAGATTTTCTCTAGGTGTCAGATTCTACACTGCAGTGTTTTTTTCTTTCAGTACTTTAGAGATTTTGCTCCACTATTTTCTTGCTTGCGTTGTCTCCAATGAGATCTATGCTGCTATTGTTATCTTCGTTCCTGTGTATACAGTTGTCCCTGGGTATCCACAGGGAGTGGTTCTAGGACCCCCCACAGATACTAAAATCTGAAGATACTCGGGTCGTTTTTATAAAATGGCGTAGTATTTGTATATAACTTAGGCGTGTCTTCCTGTATACTTCAAATCATCTCTAGATTACTTATAATATCTAATACAATGTAAAAGCTAAGTAAATAGTTGCTATACTGTATTGTTTATGGAATGATGAGAAAAAAGTCTGTACGTGTTCGGTACAGACACAGCCATCGTAGGCCGTTTGATCCAGAGTTAATTGAATCCACAGCTGCAGAACCTGCGGATACGGAGGGCCCACTGTATGACGTGTCTTTTTTTCTAGCTGCTTTTAGGATTTCCTCTTCATCATTGGTTTTGAGCCATGTTATTATGATGTACCTTGGCATAGTTTTCTTCATACTTCCTGTGCTTGATGTTTGTTGAAGTTCTTAGATCTGTGGTTTGTAGTTATCAAATTTGGAAAATTTTGGTATTATTTCTTCAAATATTTTTTATGCCTCTCTCCATCTCCTTCATGGACTTCAATTACTTGTGTATTAGGCTGCCTGAAATTGTCCCCTGGGTCATGGATACTCTTTTCATTTTGTCTTTATGCTTTTTTCTCTGTGTTTCATTTTGGATGGTTTCTCTTACTGTGTCCTCAAGTTCATTAATCTTTTCTTTGCAATACCTAATCTGCTATTAATCCCATCCGGTGTATTTTCCATCTCAGACATTATAGTTTTCATCTCTAGAAGTTGAGTTTGGGTCTTTGTTTAATATCTTTCATGTCTCTACTTAACTTTTTGAACATATAGAATCCAGTTATAACTGTTTTAACGTTCTTAACTGTCTTGTGTCAGTTCTGGGTTGGTTGCAATTGGTTGATTTTTCTCCTCATTATTGGTTATGTTTTTTTCACTTTTTTGCATGTCTGGTAATTTTTTTATTGGATGCCAGACATTGTGAATTTTACTCTGTTTGCTAGATATTCTTAGGTTTCTGTAAATAGCTTTCGCTTTGGGACATAGTTAAATTTCTTGGAAATAGTTTGATCCTTTTGAGTCTTTTAAGATCTGTTAGGTGGCATCAGACTAGTGTTTGGTTTAGGGCTGCTTATCCTCTGGTATTGAGGCAAGATCTTTCTGAGTACTCTATCCAATACCTGTGAATTATGGGGTTTCTGCAGTCTCATTAGTAGGGACATGCATTATTACGACCCTGGGTGAGTGCCGGTCATGGTTTTTGTAATCTTTTCTGGTCGTTTTCCCCCAGTCTTGTGTAGTTTCCTTGTATGCATGCTCTGATCAGTGCTGTGCTGAATGGTCGACGGGGACCCTCTGCTGACATCTGTGATTCTCTCTCTGTGCCCCTCTCTACTCTCCAGGAGTCCGTCGTGCAAACTCTAGCTGCCTTATTATTCGTATAAATTTGTTTCCTTATCTGCATCCCTCCCTCCTCTTCCCCAACTCATTGTGGATGACTCAAGGCCATTAATTTTGAGGACTTTTCTCCCAGAAGTAGTAATCATTTTTAACCAGTCCTCCCACGTTCCCCTCATGATTAGTGTAAAGTATTTGCAAGCTGACTGGGTCAGAAATGTGGTTTCATGAGTATGTTACAAGTTTTTATATGAGCTAGATATTGTACCATGTTTCCTTATCTATCAGCTACATATTTGCTGAGTTCCAGCTGTATTCTCAGCATCATATGGGGTGCTGAATGGTAACTAGAAAGTGAGCAAAATATTGTTTCTTAACAGTTGATATTCTAGCGGGAAATAGAACAGGTCTCGTCAAATGTTGAGAAAAATGTCAATTTTTTTAAGTTCTCTAGATGTTTAGAGATGAGAGAAATTAGTATGATCTGGGTGGTCAGTGAATGCATCCTCTAAACTAGGGCTGAAAAGCGCTTTGAAAATGTATAAATTTTAAAAATGGAAATCACTTACAAGATATGATGGAAGAAAATATGCTATTGTGATAGCCAAACAAATTTTACAGGCATGCAGTTAACAAGAAAAGTTCAGAATTTATATTAGAAAAACTATAAAAACTCCCAGATACAAACATAGACTTGGAAAAATGTGAAGATATACCATGTTCTGGGTAGGAAAGACTCAACATCCTAAAGATTTCAGTTTTTTCTAAGACAATTTATAAATTTAACATTATTCCAATGAAAGTACCGTCGCATTTTTCCTCTTAGGGCTAGACAGATTATAAAGTTCACTTGCAAGAACAGACAAGCAAGAATAGCTAGGAAAACCCTGAAATTGGACGTCAGTAAGGATGGGAGGCTAGCCCTGCTAGACAGTAAAACATATTATAAGCCTTTATAATAAAAACAAATGTGGTATTGGTACAGGAATAGACAGAGCAACTGAAGAGAATAGAAAATACAGAAATAAACCCAATTGCATGTGGAAATTTAGTCTGTAATAAAAGCAGCATCCTAAAATCAGTGGAGAAAATATGGAATTTTTAATGTGGTATTTGTGATGCTGGGATAGTCAACTCTGAAAAGATGGGATTGCATCCATTTCTAATACTCTACGCCAGGATGTTAGTATAGAAAATAATACCACAGTAAGTATTGGAAGAAAACATGGGTAAAATCTTTTGTGACCTGTGTATGGGGAAAACTTTACTCTGACTCTAAATTCAGAAGCAAAAAGGAAAAACATAGATAAGTATAATTACATATGTGTGAGTATATGTACTTATATATGTATGTATACATGTATATACACATGTATACACTCACACACTCTCTCTTTTGCATAGCAGAAAACATAATCAAAGTAAAAAGACAATGACAAACTGAAAGATTGTTTGCCAGTTATATCATGGACAGTGGGTTAATCTCTCAAATATATAAAGACCCTCTAAAATTGAAGAAGAAAAGGACCAATGGTTTTCTAGAAAGATGGGCATGAGTTAGCAACGAGTTCATTGAAACGAATACGGATTAGCCTTATATGAAAATGTGCTCAACCTCACTTATTATAAGAGAGAGACAAATTAAAACAGCACAAGATATCATTTCTTTTTTTATCAGATTGGCAAAAGTCCAGCACTTTGACAGATACTTTGTTGGGGACAGAAATAGGTACTCTCTTATATTGCTACTCGGATTGCAAAATGGTACAACTTTAGGGAGAAATTTAGCAATATTAAATGAAGTTACACATATATTTACCTTTTAACCTAGTAGTCCTATCTCTAGGGATCTATCTTACAGATATGTACTGGGAAATATCTGAAAATATGTGTGCACAAAGCTACCATGTCACTATTTTTAATAGCAAAGGACTGGAAACAATCCAAATTTTGATCTTGATTTGAATAAAACAACTATAAAAAAACTTGACACCATGGAAGAAATTTGAACACTGACTAGGTAGTTGATTATATTAAATTTTTAAGATGTGATAATGCTATTATGATTATGTTTTTTGCAAAAGAGTACCTTTTAGAAATACTTGATATGTTAACAATGCATTACAGTTATCATTTGTTTTGATATTCGAATTGACCCGTCTTTAGCTGGTGACTGCCCCTTGAAGTTAACTCCTGAGTCCTTCTGCCACATCTTTTAGAGATAATTACTTAAGTATTTGTGGATGAAATTTTATGATTGGAATTTGTTTCAAAATAATCCAAAGGTCAGGGTAAGTGGGGAGGTAGAGATGAATTAAGATTTGCCATGAGTTGATAATTGTTTAGTCTGGACGATAGGAGTTTTGTTATGCTATTATGTCTTCTTTTGCGTCCATTTGAAATTTCCCATGAAAATGTACAGGGTTTAAGTAGGCAGAAATGGAGAGAATGCATTTAGACAAAGTCATTGAGACCAAGGTGGGCAATTGGACGTGAAGTTCTTGGTAAATTTAACACAGATTTCCTTTATTTCCACTGTATCTTATTTGTGTTTTAGTTAGCTGGTGTCTTTTTGTGAGTGTGTGATAGAGTGTTTAAGATATATTTTTCTGTAAGTGTAGTTCTAAGCATTAAAGTAACTTCTAAAGTAGGAAGTTTTTCGTTTATTGGCCCTCATTATAGGGCCTTGGGTTATCAAAAGACTTGATTTGAGGGAAGTGAAATTTTTCTCACACTTTTTATGAGAGGCATATTATCTTTCAGATTTTGTTTGGACGTTAAGTATACCAGGCAAAAGAGAAAATGGAGAGTACAACTTTTCTTTTTTTCAGGTTTAACATTGAGATTGTTTATTTATGAGGTTTTAAGTGTGTCATTTTAATAATTATAAGAAACCTAGGTTATACAAAATTGCATATAGGAGCAAAACTTTCTCTCCCTCTGAACATTTCACTGTCTTAGAAAATATGATTTATTTAGTGATATCTAATTGCATCAAGCATGATCATTTTAACTTGTTTTCTATTCTCCCAACAGATTAATTTTAAAACTGGAAGTTTGTATCTTTTGCTGGATATTGGAAATTAAGTCTAATGGCAGCAGACTTTATAAAGAGTTGCTGTAAAGGATGTTTCTATGGTGAAACAGAAAAGCACACCTGTGAGTTTCGTTTTGTTTTGTCTTCAACAAACATTTATTTAATGTCTTCATTTGTGGCATTTTGTAATATAAAGAGAAATGAGACTTATTTCCTAACTTCATAGGGAAGGCAGAAATGTAAATATAAGGCACACTAGGTAAGTATTAAAGTACTCTGGAGCGTAGGGGAGAGAAAGGTGAATTCAGCGCAGGGTGGAACAGCACCGCAGCGAGGTGGCGTTTGTATGGAGGTCTGAAGAAGACTTTAGCAGGCTGAGTGGGAAGAGGGCAGTAAGAGAAGGTGGGGCTTGGACATGAGTGTTACAGGCGGATGAAGTCGGACAGGCGGAGGCAGGGGAGAAGAGAAGTGTTGGGGGGTTGGGAGGACAACATACTCTGGCCAATGGTTTCCAGTCTATGAACAGTGCACTAAAAAATGCCTTTGGTGAATAAGGCCCAATCGAGAAAAGACCCGTAACTTTAGCAAAACCCACGTTTATCCAGGACTCCTGGAGATTTCCCTTTGTATCGTGTGGTTTCCTCATCTCTTCAGGGTTATGACTGGAACTTTCTTTTTCTTTGGGTCTTTCTTGTATCTCTTAGTCTAGAGCATAGCTTCCTAGTATATTTGAGTATGAAGGCTTCTTTTGCATTAAAAGATTTCACAAATTGCTGCAGAATAGGAGTTGTACTTTCATTCAGTCTGCAGAGAGTACTAATTATACATAAAGATTAACTCTGGCCTTCCCTACCTCCCCATCCTAAGGTACGCAGCTTAGAACATATAGTTCTGGAAAGTGGATAGAATAGATCTGAGAGGCTAGCACAGGGAGAGATGTATTATATTAAGGTCAGCATACACATTATTTTGTTATTTGGTGAAGATTTTTGTAGACTTGGAGCCCTTTAGCTTCTTTTCAGAATTGCTCTATATATTTAAGACTGATATTAACCATTAGTATTGCCAACAAGAATTGCTTTGTTCAGGGTGTTTTTAAAGGACTAGATTTTACCTGGAAGTCATAATTGTGGAATTAACTAAAAAATAAATTTGTTTTCCATCTATTAACTCTTTTGTGGGAATGAGACTCTTTAAAAAGCTTCTTTTACCTGTTACTATGATAAGTTAATATATTTTGGCAATAGTATATCACTCGCTCAAATATTGACTGGACAGAATTAATGTGGATTCCGGAAGTGCTTGATAGGACCCAAGCGTGGTTTATGTATCAGCAGTTTCTTCTAAAACGATTAAATAAGTACCAAAGCATGCTAGGTTTAGAATATTATACAGAAATTTACATGCATTTTTTAATTTTTTCTTTTCTTTTTTCTTTTATGTGCAGTTTCTGTGGAGAGAGACTTTAAAGCAAAAGTTTCGAATAGTCAAAATACTACTATCTGTACACCTCCATTGACTTCTGTTTCTGTAAAGCCTCAGGTTGGCTGTACTGAGGATTATTTACTTTGCAAATTACCATCTGATGGCAAAGAAGTACCATTTGTGGTGCCCAGGTTTAAGTTATCTTATATTCAGCCCAGGACGCAAGCAACTCCTTCACATCTGGAAGAACTCGAAGGTAAACAAGAAAATGGCGGGGTTTAAAAATCAACATGCAACATTAAAATGCTGTTATTTTGCTTTTTTTAATCTTTAATATAGGTTTATCTTTTCTGTCTGTAACGTAATATCTTTTAAATTTACGTTTCACTTTTTATATGTTTCTCTCCTGTACAGGAACTTAATGTGCAGTGTTTTTTTGAAAGGTCCCATTGTGAAATCTGTTCATGATACAACACATTTGTGTGTTGACTTGGCCTTCTTAAAAGGAATAATATAATTTTAATATATCAGTTATCCTTCACACATGGATAAGAAAAATAGAGGAATTATTCTGTATTTGATCAGTAAATATAAGAAATATTATTATCTGCTATTTTCTAAAATTTAGTGTAAAGAGAAATAAGGAAACAATGAAGTAGTCTTTCTTCCTTCTCCTCTTTCTCCATCGCTGCACTTCCCGATCTAAACACACTTGCCAGTCTAAATAACCACTCGAATGAGGTCGATTCGTTGGCTGAGTTTGGGCTGATGTTGTAGAGGTCAATGGACTAATGAAAAGGAAACAACGTGTAACCCTTGTATTTTAAAAATAATTTGTTTTAGTCCATTGAAACACTATCAGTCATAATGATTTTTTCCCCAAAATTTTATTATGAAAAATTTCAAACATACAGAAAAATCGAAAGAACGGTAGATACCTGTATGTCCACCACATAGATTCTATCATTAACATTTTACTGTATTTTTTATCACATATCTATCCATCTATCCATTTCTCTCTCTATGATTAATCCTTTTTTGGTGGGGGGAGAATGTATGTCAGAGTAAATTACAGACATCAGTACACGGCTCTCTAAATACTTAAGCATATATATCATTTACTAGGGTTCAATATCTGTTTACACTTTCCTCCTTTTGACATAAACTTTACACACAGTGAGCCACCCAAGTTTTAAGTGTGTATTTTTTGAGTTTTGACAAATGCATATACCAGTGTAATCCAAACGCCTATCAAGATCTAGAATAGTTCTTCAAATATTTTTTTCTGCTCTATCTTTCCTCTTTTCTCCTTCTGGAATTCCAATTACACATATATTGGACCTTTTATTGTTTTATATGTCTCTGAGACTTCTTTTTTCCCCCAATCTTTTTTTTTCCTCTCTCTTCTTAATATTGGATGGTATTGATCTATTTTCAAATTCACTCTTTCCTCTATCTCCATTCAGCTGTTAAGCCCATCCAGTGAATTTTTTATTTTAGACATTGTATTTTTCAGTTGTAGAATTTACATTTGGTTCTTTTTTATAGTTCCTGTTTCTTTGCTGTGATTTCTTGTTTTGTTTTGTTTTTTTTCATTATTGTGAGCCTGTTTTCTTTTATGTCTTAGAGCTTTAATCTGGGTTCAGATTCTGTGGATTGTCTTTCTTTGAGAATGGGTCACATTCTGTCATTTCTTTGTCTATGGAGTAACTTTGGGTTGTATTCTGGATGTTGGATGTTATGGAGACTCTAGAATCTGTTATATTACTCTGAGAGTGTTTTTTTTTTCTTTTTTTGTTTTTCTTGTTCTTTCTTTAACCAGGCAATTAACTTGACTGGAATATGCTGTAAATTCTGTGTTTTTGGTGGCAGCTCTTATCTCAGCTTATTTTTTTTATCCTTAGTTGGAGTCTGTCCCACACATGTGTGGTTCGGGGATCAGCCAGATACTTGAACAGACTTTACTCACTGAATTTGGGGCTCTCTCCTTTCTAAGATTCCCACCTTACTTTCTAGCGGCTGTGGTTGCTCTGAACTCTGCTTTCTGGTTCTTCAGGCCAGACAGACTGTGGATTTTCTATTGGAGTTTTATCTGCCCTGCTTGGGGCCAACTTTAGCTTGCCCTCAGTCTAAAAGTCATTAAAAACCACGTAATTCACTTTGCGCCATTCCGTTTTTTCCAAGAGTCACGTCTTGTCCAGAATCTGCACTGCTTTTGTTCTCTCTCCAGTGCCTTCAGGATTTTTGTTCATTTAGTTTTTGGTCTAGAGTTTATCATTCTTTTTTTTTTTTTTTGAGGGGGGAGGGGGAAGATTAGCCCTGAGCTAACACCTGCTGCCGATGCTCCTCTTTTTGCTGAGGAAGACTGGCTCTGAGCTAATATTCATGCCCATCTTCCTCTACTTTATATGTGGGATGCCTGCCACAGCATGGCTTGCCAAGCGGTGCGTAGGTTTGCGCCTGGGATCCGAACTAGTGAACCCTGGGCCGTCAAAGCAGAGCGTGCAAACCTAACCGTTGTGCCACTGGGCCGGCCCCCTGGAGTTTATCATTCTTGTCTACAGGAGAGTTGGATCTGGTAGGAGTGAAGGTTTTTTTAAAGAAACACGGAAAGATAAACCCTGACCTATCACTTTGTTTTGCACAGATCAGTAGTATGTCTCAAAATTCATTATTTTTGAGGAAGATTAGCCCTGAGCTAACATCTGCTGCCAATCCTCCTCTTTTTGCTGAGGAAGACTGGCCCTGAGCTAACATCTGTGCCCATCTTCCTCTACTTTCTGTGTGGGACGCCTGCCACAGCATGGCTTGCCAAGTGGTGCCATGTCTGCACCCAGCATCTGAACCCACAAACCCCAGGCCGCCAAAGTGGAATATGTGCACTTAACCGCTGCGGCACCAGGCTGGCCCCTTAAAAGTCATTTTTAAAAGTTCTGGCTCACAGGATACCCCAATCAGTTGATCTTTCTCTTTCTCTTGTACCTGTTTGACAACATTGGGGTTAAACTATAAACAGTCTTTTTTTTTTTTTTTTTTGAGGAAGATTAGCCCTGAGCTAACATCTGCTGCCAATCCTCCTCTTTTTGCTGAGGAAGACTGGCCCTGAGCAAACATCTGTGCCCATCTTCCTCTACTTTATATGTGGGATGCCTACCACAGCATGGCTTGCCAAGCAGTGCCATGCCTACACCCGGGATCCGAACCGGCGAACCCTGGACCGCCGAAGCAGAACATGCGAACTTAACCCCTGCGCCACCGGGCCAGCCCTAAACAGCCTTGTAATCTGTTTTATTCACATTGTGTGTTGTGAGCATGTTTTCATTATTCATTGCTTTTTAATGCCTGCATAGTATTAAATCATATGGGTGTACCATAATTTATTTAATAAATTGTCTATCCTTGGGGTATTTTATGTATTATTTTCATAATAAGAAAATAAGTAAGAAATACCTCCCTGGCAATATGTGATAGTTTTTCTTCAGCTTTTTTTTCCCCATTGTATCACTAGAAAGCAGATTACTTTTTGAGTTGAATGAGTAAGAAATTGGTTTACACAGAAATTACAGGCTCACTGAAGATGTGGCAAAGCTATCTGATTTTTAGCATACTGGAGAGAAAATTACTTTATTTAACTAGAGTCAAAATGTATTCTTGGTGCTTAATTATAAAAGTCAAATGTGTGTGTATGCTGTGGGAGTGGTGGGCTGGCATGGAGACATTAAGACAGGGCAGGCCGCTGTCAATGATGGCTGAAATATTGACTAGAATGCTGGGAATTTGTTTTGTCGCCTTGCGTACTTGCTTGTGGGTCTGATTACAGCTGCAGCTTACTACTTTGATAACATACAGATTCTGTCATTAACATTTTACTGGGCTTGCTTTATCATGCATCTGTCTCTCTCTCCATCAAGAAAATGCTTTTTGGATGAACACTGAAATTTTAAATAGAGCTTTTGAGAGGTGTAAGCAATTGTGCAACTTTACATTTAGTTTTATAGCATTGTAGTTCTGTAACTGGAGAGAAATTCCTCTTGAACTTTAAAAATGATACCACGGTATAGTGTTTGAGGGGAAAATTGGAATTCTCCAGTTGCTTATTTGTAAGGGAAAACTGAAATCAGAATATTCCTTTTGGATTCAGCCTCCAAAGGCAGTGAGTCATCTTTGGTGCTCACACTCCTGGCGGTGCTGTTCTGTTACCATAAACAGACTTTTGTAGCAGTGTTTGTGTGCTGCATGATTTAAGTGTTAGCTTATAAGGGGGAGAGGCCCTCGTAAGGCTCTCTGGCATCATATTCCCTCTTGGCACCCCTCTGCCTGTGTCTGTGCTTGGCTTGCACACAGAGTCATTTGAACAAGGGTGAGGATAAAATCTCACCTCATAACTCCATATCTTATTTTTCTTTTCTGAACTCAGTGTGAAGCCACCTGTTTTATGGTTTAGCTCAATTCAGAAAATATTACCCTGTACTGTGGGTTCGGTTTTAAATGGGACAAAAGGAATTAAAACATGACCATAGTTTAAACATTTAAAAAACTTTATTTTATGTTTATCTATTACTTCCAATGTGATTATTAACTTTGAAGGAAATCTGATCTATTGTTTTACCCTTTTTAAATTGTGAAATATAAAACACATCCAGCAAAAAGAAGCAGAATTGAAGTTTACAGCTCAGTGATTTATTACAAAGCAAAACATGTGCATAGTCACCACTCAAGTAAAGAAATAGAGTTAGCAGCAACCCCAACGCCTGCGTCTTCCTCCTTTTCAGTCCCTCCAGAGTAATCAGTATCCCAGTGGTTGTAATCACTTTCTTGCTTTTCTTACTTTTATTACCTGAGCCCATTTCCCTAAATGTTGTGGCTTAGTTTTTTCTGTTTTCTGACCTTGATGTAAATGAAATTACATATTCAGTATAGATTCTTTTGTTTTGAGTTCTTTCATTTAACATTAGGTTTGTGAGATTCATTCAAATTGTTAGTAGCTTCACTTTGTTTTCATATTTGTACAGTAAGTGTGTATCTATTCTGTTGTAATCTAAATAACATGGTAGACAGTAGTGTTTCTCTATAGCTTACTGGAAGGTGTTTTTATCTAGTAAGCGTACACTACAGTTTATTTACTGTTGATAGACATTTGAGTTTTTTCCAATTTTTGGCTATTATAGACAATGATGAACATTCTTGTACTTGTCTCTTGGTGCACAGGTGCAGGCATTTCAATTGTGTGTCTGTCCCAGAATGACGTTTTGGGTCATAGGGTATACATATCTTCAGCTTTAGTAGAAATTGCAAACTGTTTCCCACGGCAGCTGCATCACTTGACCTTCCCACCAGCAGGTTATGATAGTTCCCAGTGCTTTACTTTCTTGCTAACGCTGTTGTCAGGCTTTTCAATGGTAACCATCCCGGTGAGTGTGTAGTGGTGTCTCGTTGGAGTTCTAGCTTAGGTTTTCCTCTTGACTAATGCAGTGGAGCACCGGGTCACTTTTATTGACTCTTTCGATAGCCTCTCTTCTGAAGTACCTGCTTCAGTGTTCAGCCAGTTTGTATCTAGGCTCTCCTGTCTTTTTCTTAGTGATTTGTGGGAGTGTCTCACATATTGTAGATAGGAGCCCTTTGGCAGTTGTATTTGTTGCACATGTCTTCTCCCACTCTATGGGTTGCCTTTTCACTCCCTTAAATAGTCTTTTGACAAATAGAAATTTCAATTTTAAGGCCATTCAGTTTATTAAAATTGTTTTCTGTTTAATGCTATCTTCCATTTAAGAAGTGCTTCTCCACCAAAGGACGTGAAAACTTTCTTATAAATTTACTTAAATATAGAAGTTTTATTGGTTTGCCTTTAACATTTAATTTAGATCTACAATCCATGTGGAATTAATTTTTTGTGAATATATTTAGTTGGGATGAAGGTTTCTTTTTTTTCCTGTATCAGTATCCACTTGTCTTACTACCTTTTGGTGAAAAGTCCATTCTCTCCCTACTGTTGTGCATTGCCCCATTGATTATAAATCAAGTGTCCGTAAAATGGGTGTCTCTTTCTGGGCTTTCTGTTCTGTTCCACTGATCTTATAATTGTGCCCATATTCTGTTCTTAATATCCAGTACAGCAAACCTTTCAGTCTTGTTTTTCTGCTTAAAGGTTATCGTTTTGGTTATTCTTTGTCCTTATATATTTGATATAAATATTTTCTGTTCAGTTTATTTGACTTATAACTTTATTGCATTGTGGCTAGAGAACATACTCTGTATCATTTCAGTCCTTTAAAATTTATTGAGACTTGCTCTGTGTATCTCAGCATGTATAAATGTTCTGTGTCTTCATGAAAAGAATGCATCTCCAAAAAAAAGATAATATTTTTACTTAAAGATGTTATTTGTGTAAGTAGAATAATAAAAGGAAGCTTAAATCACAGAATACAGAATTGTCTTTGAGGCAAAGAAAAATACCAAAAATTTACCAGGCTTTCTTGAAGCAGAGTGCATGGCTGATCCCTGGCAGAATACTCCACACAGTTAGAACTCAGTAAATGTGTGCTCATTTTTTTTAGATGCAAAGGCATGTGATATAGTGTTACTCGAGACAAAATTCTTTTCCTTTGCTTTGGGTGCATCAGCTGTTGGCTAATAACTCCAAGAAGAGGATGTTGTAAAACTTTAGAAACACTTGCTTTCAGGATCTGCCAGAGCATCTTTTGGAGATCGGAAGGTGGAACTTTCTGGTTCATCCCAGCATGTCCCCAGCTATGATGTCTATAACCCATTCTATATGTATCAGCACGTTTCACCTGATCTGAGTCGGCGCTTTCCTCCTCGTTCGGAAGCGACGAGATTATATGGATCAGGTATGAAATTTTTTTTGTTTTCCTCCTCTTGTGTTTCTCTTTAACAAATGGAGAAGTCAAATTAAATCTGAGGCCCCGGAAGAAATGATTCATGTTATGAAAAACAATTTAAAAATAAGAGAAGAGCAGACTTCAGAAGTGATGTGATAAATGTCACGACTTGTCCAAGGTATTATATCCAAGACAAAAATTGAAAGAATACTGAGTTATATGTGTTGGTAGTTCCAAATTCCATTTTAACTGTCCTTTTTTAAAAGAAGTTTTGTTTTCAGATTATTTTGTGTATATTTTATATGTCATCTATACATTCATAAAGTCTGCAACAGATATTTACTAGCTTTTTTCTTTTTTGCCCTATTCAGTTAAAATGATGAGTTTGGAAACTCATGATATGATTAGAAATATAAACAAAGAAAATAGAAAATGCCATAATGATTTTAGAACTTTCTTAGTTTCCTATTTGAGACGGTGTCAGTTATAGTCTATCTTGTATGCATCTGATTCATAGAATTCTCACTGTTTTTCGGGTTTTTGATATATATAGTTATGTCGACTACCAAATTCAGGATGAGGTACTGAAAATCAAGCTGAAGTATTTATTTAAATATTTATTTATTTCAGCACTATGCTAGAATACACAATTAGCATACGGAGTTCTATTCTTGAAGGATCTTACAGTGTAGAAGGGAAACAAAATACAGGAGCACATGGTATTCAGATTTGATTTTTTTAATGTAATAAGTTTCACTAAACAGTTGAGTTGCATTCAGCACAGAGGACTTACGTCCTCTTAGATTATTTTTCTGGGATGAAGAATTGAGTCATGTAACGAAAAAGAATGAATTTTCCCTGCATGCTGTTTGATGTGGATGTGAAAATGTGGTGTTTGATTTATGTTGGTTTCTGGTTCAAATAAAAGTAAAATAATTGAAAAACAATTTTTTTAGCTTCATTAGAAGGCTTCCCCTCTTAAATAGATTTGTATACTGTATTCATGATATATTGCTATAGAGATTTAGTCCATTATAATTAAGTGGAATTCCAGTGTTTCTTCCTTTTTACTATAAAAATAGTAATTTTCTTATGTCCCTTTGTAGTTTGTGATTTAAGGACCACCAAACTTCCTGGCTCCCCTGGGCTGAGCAAGTCTATGTTTGATCTTACAAGTTCATCTCAGAGATTCATCCAGGTAAATTATTTATATCAATTTAATTATATGTGATAATTTATTTTCAAGCTAAAAATTCAGAAACGTGTGAATTAGGAACAACACGTTGTATATTTTTTGTAGACGTATCTATTCTACTATCTGAAGAAGAAACTCTTGGCGTTACCCACGTGCATTATTTTAGGAAGCTCTCAGTTGGGTACTGGAAGGCAGTAGTTTTTCTTTTTTTTTCTTTGTGACTCCTGCGTCTCTCCGTTGGTGCTCTCAGGCAATCTTGAGGCAGTTGGCATTTAAAATAGTGTAGTTAAAAGTGCTTAATTAACTTTCTTTATTGATCATAACTACCTGGTTAGTATTTCTATTGAGCTGTAGGACTTTAGTTATTCATTAACGTTAACACAGTGTCCTCCTATTTTTGAGATAGAATTGAGAATTTTTTGATATTTAAAAAAAGTTTCTTTTTTTAATACAAGTAAACTGTGATAATTATTTAAAAATTAGAAAGTAGACTTAAGCAAAGTAAAAGGACAAATCACCTATATTTCTATAACTGGGAGTAAAAGCACTATGAAAATATTGTTATGTATACTTGTGGATTTTTTCCCGTCTGAATGTCTATACATATATCTTATTAAAATGGAAGTGTATTCTAAATAATCCTTAATTATCCTCACTTGAGTTAATGTTTTGCAGACTTAATTCTTTATAGCACCAGTTCTTGAACATGCGTCAGAATTGTTTGGAGTTAAAATACGGATTGCCAGGCCTCACCCCCAGAGCTTTCGATTCAGTCAGTATCCCTGCATCGGGGCCAGAATTTGTAGTTCTAACTGGTTTCCAGGTGATGCTGATAACTCCCGGACCGCGGGGACCATTCTTTGGTCACTGCTGCTTTCCAGGTTCTTAGGTAACAGGGCACTTCTAAATATATTCTGATTTGTATTAGTACTTTCAAGTATGAAACATAAGCAGTAATCTCTTCCTCCTTATTACAGGACCAAACCAAGAACAGCAAAGCCTTTCCCATATTAAGATATTTAAGATTTTCCTGATAACCACACAAAAGGCCTCTTTCCTCTCCCTTATCTAAAAGTGGGAGATTCTGATCAGTAACACTGTCAGAATGATTCGCATGCGGTTTGTTACTGGGAGGGTATTGGGGCATAAATTTCACAATCCTTAAAACTTGATATGCGATTTCCAATAAAGAAGAACTTTATTTCTAGAGAGATGATTCGTTCTCCAGCGTGCCCAGTAGTTGTTCGTCAAGGAAGAATTCTCAGGGGAGTAACCGAAGCCTGGGTAAGGAAGAAAGTGTCCTATCTTTATATTCCTAAGGGAATTATTTCTACCCAATAGTAATTTGAAAGTAAATATGATAAGGTAAAAAACCTCTAGATGATTATACCTATGTTGGCAGTGTTATCTGCCTGTGAATACACAGATCAGATGATCCATTTTTTAGTGTTTAGGCAATGCATCGTTAAAAAAAGTGAGGCAGTTAAATATAGATATATTTTTTGACATATATTAGTGAAGGGACTTCTTAAAGCATTCAGTATTCAGGCCATATCAGTGTTGTTTGGAAAAGTTTTTCTTAGTTTTAACTTCAATCCCTCAGGCTATAATTGGGTTAAGTTTTTAAGCCAGGTACTTTTTATACCTTTTCCCTAGGACTTCAACAGAAACATTGAAGTGTGATTTTTGTCTTTTTAAATTGGCAACTTTAAAAAATAATTGTAGCATTTTTAATTATGCTCTTAAAATTGGATCATCTCAAAGCTTAATCGGGTTAGAAGGATTGCATAGCAATTCAGACGTCTTTGTTCTTTCACAATTCAGATACAATTACTCTGTCAGGAGACGAAAGAGAGTTCGGGAGATTGAACGTGAAAGTATTTTATAATTCTTCAGTAGAGCAGATCTGGATCACGGTTTTACAGGTAAGTTCATTAGTTAATACCGCCTTTTCTTACAAAATTGAATATTTAGAAATTATAGGCATCTACTGTCGCTCTCTTGTGGAGCATGGGCCAGTACCTTCTTTGGAATTTAAGGTTCTTTAGTATTTTGCAGAAAATAGTATTTAATAAAGAATCTAAAGGAAATAAATCGGTAGGTATGATGGAAGGAGGTTTGTTTTTTAACCTCAAGAAAGAAATTGATGTGATATCTAAAACATTAAATGTTAAATTATTTCAATGTAGATGAAACAAGAGCTCTCAGCAGACTAAAATTTACTTTTATAGTTTGTATCTAACATCAACTCAAGAAATACATCAAATATTTGTATTGTCAGCATCCTTTGTGAAATTCAAACTGTATTTTTAATTTTTTTAGTGCAGAGATTTAACTTGGCCCTCTAGTTATGGAGACACTCCTACTATTTCTATAAAAGGAACGCTAACACTGCCCAAACCAGTGCATTTCAAATCTTCAGCCAAGGAAGGCTCCAATGTAAGTGGCCGTGATTGAATTTCTTTTTATGTTTTTCTCATATTTGTCACTTTAACTCATGTAAAGAATTGGAATAAGAAAGTGGTTTATTTTTGGGAAACTACAAGTATGTATCCTTTGCTTTTTAAAGACAATTTTGAGCCTCAAAAACATTTGATAGTTCATTGTCCAATATTAAGATACATTTAAAAAGAAAATCTTAATCACTATAAATATATAGAAAATGAATAATATCTAAGAAAACTACTTTTCTTATATGAAAGAAAATAATGTGTATGTTTTCATCCTCTCTCCCCCACCCCACTTTGACTTTGAGAAATAATTGCATGATTGCAATTAATTTCTTCTAAATGCTTGCAGTTATTGTAACTGGAAGACTAATAATCCCGAAATCGGTTTTATAGATTCTAGATTTCACGTTAACTTAAATATATCTTCATTTCTGTCTTCTAATGTGGGTTGAAAAGTTAGTGTTTTTCCATGCATATGAAGGGTATCTCCTGCAAGAACATATCATTTAAAAATAAGCCAATTCATGGGGCCCACCCTGTGGCCGAGTGGTTAAGTTCGTGCGCTCCATTGAGGCGGCCCAGGGTTTTGTTGGTTTGGATCCTGGGTGTGGACATGGCACCACTTGTGAGGCCATGCTGAGGCGGTGTCCATGGGCCACAACTAGAAGGACCCACAACTATAATATACAACTATGTACTGGGGGAATTTGGGGAGAAAAAGCAGAAAGAAAAAAAAATAAGGTAATTCAAATTACTAATAAACATGCAAAAAGTTTACTAGTAATCATAGAAATACAAATTTAAATTACATATTGCTTTCACTTTCTTTTCTTTCAGTTTTCCTTTTTTTGCTTATTAAAATTAGGAGAAATTTTGCAAGTACTCTAGAACATATAACTTCTTGAAAATTATTTTGACAATTCTCATCAAAATCTTAAAATATTTACACTTTTTTTTTTTGCTGAGGAAGAGCAGCCCTGAGCTAACATCTGTGCCAGTCTTCCTCTACTTTGTGTGCGTTGCTGCCACAGCATGGCTTGATGAGCAGTGCTGGGTCTGTGCCTGGGATCTGAAGCCGTGAAACCCAGGCTGCCTAAGCAGAGCACCTGAACTTAACCACTACACCACCGAGTGGGTCCCTAAATATTTATACTTTTTAGTGTAGCAATTCTACTTGGAATCTGTTCCGTGGAAATAAACTAAAATGCAAATATATATATATATATGTGAAGTTCTTGGCAGTTCTGTTCATAGCAGAAAAGTTGGAAACGATCTAAATGCCTCATACAGGGGAATGGTTGATAAGCCTCATGGTATACCGTGTATATTGTTTCCTAGGATTTTTATAACAAAGTACCACAAACTGAGGGACTTAGAACAATAGAAATTTCCCTCTTACAGTTTTGGAGGAAGTCTGAAATCAAGGTGTCAGCAGTCTTGGTTCCTTCTCTGAGGGAGAATCTGTTCCGTGCCTTTCTCCTAGTTTCTGGTGATGGCTGGCAGTCCTTGGCGTTCCTTGGCTTCATTCTCATCTCAGCTTCCATCTTCACGTGGCCTTCTCCCTTGTGTCTGTGTCTTCACATGGCCGTCTTCTTATACGGACACCAGTCACATTGAATTAGGGGTGTGTCTGCTCCAGTGTAACCTCACCTTAACTTCACCAATTACATCTTCAGTGACCCTATTTCCAAATAAGGTCACAGTCTGAGTTTCTAGGGGTTAGGACTTCACATATCCTTTTAGAGGGGACAGAATTCAAACCATGACACCATGTGATGGAATACTAGGCAGCCATGAGAAATAATGTTTAGGAAGAGTTTTTAAGGACATGGCAAAATGTTCTTAATAAGTGGAAAGGCAGTAATCAAAATTGATGTATATTTCTTAGGATCTCACTTTACCAAAATCTGCATAATAGAAAGTCTAGATGGAAATAAATCTTAACTCTGGTTATAATCCTGACACTCAGAGATGAATACTTTCTGAATTAAACAATTTCACTTTTTGATTTTCAAGTAAAACTTAGTTAATTTGGGAAAAGTTAGGAAAAAATGTTCTCACATTAAAACTTGCATAGAATCTTACTTTTAAAATTTATTATTATTTATTAAGTGGTTTGGGAGACCCCTATTGTGGCAAAATGTGAAGTAAACCAGTACTCTTGCTTCGTTTGTATGCTCATGGCAGCTGAGTTTCAAAGTTAAACATTTTATGTATACGTGTTATTGGTGTGATCCTATGGCCTGAGACTCTGAAAGAAAACGATAGCTTAGGTGGTTGGGGAGCTCTCCAAAGCACAATTCTGACTACAGAGACATATAAAACCATTGCAATAAAAGTGACAATTTGGGCACAATGTCTAAAATATTGATATAGTTGCCCAGATATCTTGCCTTTTCAACATGCAAAAACTTATTTTCAAAACGATGCACTAAAGATGGAAAGAAGGAAGTATATAGCAAAGAACTGTCTAGTGTCAAGAAGATGTTAGCCTATGGTAAGCCAAGGTTTTAAAAGCGTTAAAAGTAATAAAAAGAACATTTGAAAATATTCTGAGCATGGAAAACACTGACTTGTTGCTTGGGGTGGATGCTTATAAGAGAAGGTAGAATTTTAAACTCGTATTTTCCTTTGTCTTCTCTATTAAGGAGGTTGATTTTGAGATTAGAAAAGGTGAAACAAACATCACCGAAAGAGAAATTGAAGCCTCAGATAGATGTGAAGAATGTTAGCTCCTTTAAAGAAAGAATTCAAGTCTCTTAATGTGAACAAGTTAGATTTTGTGTACTGAGAGAGCTCGCATGAGATTCTTGAACCACTCTTACTGACTGTTGAAGAATTGTGAATAGCAGGAAGGATACTCCAGAACCAGAGATGGAAAACGACCTAATTTTCCAAAAGGGAAAAGATATTCTGGTGGACTTGGTGTTAATATTGACCTGAATTCCTGACTAAAAGGACGATTTGTGAAATTAAGAAAGGCAGTATCCAAGATAAATTCTGGAAAAACAATTCATGGCCATTCTCATTTTCATTTACATTGAAAAATATTTTTTGTTGTTGTAAAAAATTCAATCTACTTTTCCTAGATTATAAAATATTATTTTTGTTTATTTTGTTTTGGCATATCACCCTTTTTTTCAGTCCTTTTAAAATAGATTTTATATTTTCTTTTTTTTTTTAGACTATTGACTTTATGGAAACTTTTGTATTTGCTATTAAACTCCAAAGTCTGCAAACTGTGAAGCTTGTATTTAAGATTCAAACCCAGACTCCCAGGAAGAAGACAATCGGAGAATGCTCACTGTCACTCAGAAGTCTGAGCACACAGGAGACAGATTACTCTCTGGATATAACACCACTTTCAAAAATTTCTGTAAGTGATAATAGGGTGTAAGGTTAAAAGTACTTCATCCTTTTAGGATTATTTAGTGGATGAGTTTTTGTTTGTTGGAGTGTAACTTGACCCTCTAGAGTATATTAGACGATCAGGAAGGCTCTCAAGAAGCAATAATAATCATCATCTTATTGTTTAATAATATTTTTTAAATAATTGATAAAAGGGTAACAGAACCCCTTTTCTTTCTCCATTGGGAAATAACCTTAGGGTTACCTTCTTCTAGTACATTTTTTATTAATGTTTCATACTTCAGGGGAAAACAGCCCTGAAGTATGAATAATTCCAAATTATTAATTAATTGTTTTCTTTTAGTTTTTTTAGTAGCTGATAACTTAGGAAAAGCAAGAAAGAACCATAAAGTCCAGCCTCAATCAGAGATTGTACTGAAGTAGATAGGAAAGTTGTTTTAATCCTGAGTAAGCTACGTATCTGTCCGTAAATGGAGTAGAGTGGAGGTTCCTACGGCTGGAGTTTTTGGTAGAGAACTTGATTATCTCTAGTGCTGACTGGTTTTTGAGACCTCATATTTGCTCCTCTTAAAAAGCCGGCTGAAGGTTGTCTTTAAATTGTTCAGAAATCCCTAATAATTTAATTATATAGTTTCTATGCCGGGATAACATTTATAGAAATCAGTCATAAGCTTTTTATAAGGTCAAACCTACATGTGATTTTAAATTTATATAGGATTTATATTTTATCTACTTTCAAAAAAATTTAAGGTGACTTGAAGTGATTCTTAACTCTGGCTACACGTTAGAGTCACCTGGGGAGCTTTAGAAAAATGCCCACACCTACACCATTTACATCAGGATTTTGGGGCGGGGGCAGGGGCACCTGTAGTTTTCAAAAGCTCCCCCAATGATTCCAATGTATAGCCTGGCTTGAGAACCACTGAAGTAGAGGGGAAATTAGGGGTTAAAAAATAAAAACCAATAAAAAACAAAGAAATACTATAATTGATCAAGAAGAGTTGAAATTTCTTGATCGTTATTTCTTGTCCGTTATTTTCTGTCTCCAACCCCAGTATATTTTCTTTATAGCATTTATCGCAATTTAGAATTATTTAAATTACTTGTTTTAAACAAAACAAAACTAGGGTCAAGCTTTCATGTGTTTTCTTCCTCTTTTGCTGTGCTCTTAATAAGGGGCTGTCATATTCTTGGCATTGAATGTTTGTATGTAGGTAGGTATGAAAGATACATGATGAGTGAAAGCATGCTAAATTAGATTGTTGTTATTTTCTGTTAAAATATAGCAGATTTGTAACTGTGAGGGGAGTTTATCGCTTGCGTCTTTGAAACTAGCTTAGTAGACATTCATCTGCAACCATATTTTACAGAAGGCACAAATATATTATTCAAACGGATAATTCAGATATTAAAACTTTAAAGACTACTAGTAGAGTCTATCAGAAGAAAACTCAGCAAAGGTAATTTCTGGGGAATTAAAACATTGTAATCTTACCTGCGTAGGGGAATTGAATGAGTGATTATGGCTAAGTTTCTACCAAATTGTATTTCATATATGGGAGGTCTTGTAAACATTCGTCTATCTGTTTATATGCCAGATGCTAGGGATACAAAGATTGATGCCCGAAAGAAGAGCTTTTGGGCTATACTGGACCAGTGACTTTATGTTACGGAGCGTGAATGTTTCCTGTTACTGGCTAAAGCAAGATTAGCATGCTTTGTTTCCTGTGTTGAGGAGGACAATTGGCATTCTAGTTGTGACGTTGAAAGAGCCAGACTTACATACCCATCCTCTACTCTGACAGCTTTCACCCCGAACAGCACAACTTTCATGTAGAGCTAACAACTTCTTCAGGACAGATTTCTTGACCTTGACAAATAGTCACATGTTCATTTGAGAACCCAGATTTCTCTGTTGGATAATGTGGAGGAGACAAGATTTGCCTGAACAAATCGCTGACATTCGTGGAGACTCACCATGCGGCTGAATTGGTCCTAAGTGATGAAATGCTCACACCAAACTTATGAGCTGCTGCCCTTGTTGTCCCTGTTGTGGAGACCAGGACACTGAAGTGCTTGCCTGAGTTCATAGAGCCGGTAGCCGAGGAGCCAGGATTTGGAAGGAAGCATCCTGACTCCAGACCAGCTCTCTGAACTCTGCCATGTGTTGCCCCCCCTAAAAAACTATTCTCAAACATCACCAGATCGTGGTTTTCTCTGGTTGTGCTTAACATTTCACTTTCGACAATTCCAGGAAGGCTAATAAAGTTTTCTTTTCTTTAAAAAATAATACATTATTCAGGAATAGAGATCATGTATCTTCCATAGTTTTGTGCTCATTAAAAATGCACTTAATATATACCAGCCAATTGATTGGAATTTTAATTTTGCGGTTATTATGAGATTGAAACCCACTTTGAATAGTTTTTCATGATCTGGATTAATATTCTGGAACATAAATTGAATTTGTGAAATCACCTTGGCAAGTAAGAAATGGTAAACCTGTTACCAAATGCTGCTCTGTTTTATGAGAGTGAACTCTAGAAGTATGTAACACTAAGAGAAATTTTGCCACCATTAAGTGTTTTTATGTGTTATTACATTGTGGGTAGAAAACTATAATGAAAAATTTGTATCCATGATTTCCTTTGTGTTTTGTAAACAGTACTGTATTTTTTAAAATGCCAAGGACTTTTTTTTCATCAGCAAAGGTTTTATTTTACATGTGGCTACTGAATGAGTTCATGTGAAAAGATATATTAATCCATTCTCTTTCTGATTAAAGCAAAAGCAGTAAATTCAGCATTTGTTGGCAAAATAGACAACTTCTGTCATCATTTTAGACTTTTCAAGGAGGAGTGTAACCTCAACAGTTGAGTCTGTCCTTTTAGGTGATTCTCTTTTTACTGTCTCTCTCTTGATTTCTTATGGCATGACCAATTTTAAAACACAGAATGATGTTTTAAGAAAATGCCCAAGATTCAGCCAATGGTATATACATAGAAAGGTTCTTTTTCAATGAGCCGTGAGCCAATTATTGGAGAATACTGGGCGATTATGAAATCTGAAACCAAATGAAGTGTCCTTCAGCTGGTTAGTAGCTCTGTTGGCATCAGTACGAGCAAAGACGGAAGTGTGTGCTGAGCCCTAAGCGAGACCGTTAACATTGTGTTCTTGCTTTTTCCCCATTCTTATTCTTTTCAACACGTGAATGGTGATGTTTTTGTGTTTGGACGACTTTATGTTTCTTTCTTTTATTTTTCACTCCAGGGACCTTGGAATCCACATACGTGGGTTGGCTTGTGTTCTGTTTCACAGACAAATTCCCAACTTTCTTCTGCTCTGAGTCAGCAGTACTGAAGAGCACATTTTACCTTTTCCCCCTGTCTGCGTCTCCTTCATTTTCTTGTTGCCTCAGGTTTTCTTTGCCCATTTCCTTGTTTCCTGCCTTGTCACTTTCACTGGCTTCCTTCCTGCCAACTCTCCTCTTTGGCTTTGCTTCCATTCAGCATGGTAATTCAGCTCTGAATCCACAAATCTGTTGATTCTAGTAATCCTTTGTATTCTGATTTTGGTAGCACCTACTCTGATTTCTACAATTAGAAAAAATAATGATGATTCTCATGTCTAACATTTTTTATTGTATTTCATATGTTCTTCAAAAAATAATTCAAATGGCTACATTTAAGTCTTTCGAAAGCATGCTCTTTGGGTGTTTATTTCGCTGACATTTTCTCTAGTAAAACTGCTTAGTCATTTAATTTGTTTTTAGTTTGAATTGTCTTTTGGTCTCCCTGATTTCAAAGGATCGGTATGTAGGTGTAACTTGTATTTTCAGAAATCATGAAAGTGAAAACCTCATATTTACAGAATCCATGACATTTATCTTAACCTTCTCTTAAAACATACAGCTTTGTGTGTCAATAAAAAGCAGCCTGTTCAAAATCTCTAACCTTAGCTCTTTAGTTTTGAATTTTTGAAATATCCCAAAACTTTGTTCTTAATTACCAAATGACGCTTTTTTGATATGCAGGTTTGCCATGCAGAGCTTGAATTGGGGACTTGCTTTCAAGCAGTAAATAGCAGAATTCAGTTACAGATTCTTGAGGCACAATACCTCCCAAGCTCATCAACACCTCTGACTTCGAGTAAGTATAGCAGTGGCTGAAAGTGAAATTTTCAGAAAATATTAGTGAAAGATAGTTTTTTCCTACATTTCTTACAATGGAGATTAAAATCTTAGTTACTTTTGTTATTTGACTTAAATACTTACCTTTTAAGTTAAAATTACTCTATTGGATTTCAAATTTTAGCCAGTGTGTCTTCCTTAATCCGCTGGTCTCTTGACTCTTATCCAATTGTGAGCTCTGCATTTGATGCTGTTCCTTGTTTAGCTCATTTGTTAACACAGGTTGAGTGTCCAGCGGACTGTCAGATATGTCACCAGCCTAGATAATTTATCCTCTCTCCAGGTCTGTGTTCTTTGTTGGATACTCTGCTAACTAGAAACTTAATTTCAAAAAAACAAAAATATCAAACACAAACCTTGAAACACTTTTCCCTCCCTGCATCTTTGGGTACAACCAAGGGTTCTGATACTTGAGTTGTCTAGGCCTGGTTCATGCGGCTGCCCCTTGGGCTGGAGGTTCATGCGGCTGCCCCTTGGGCTGGAGGTTTGAGGTCAGTCCTGCCTCAAGGGCTAAGCGTCGGGTAAGAGTGCTCTTTTTTCCTATTAGAAGAAGAGGAAATATCTGGAGGCAGGCAAAAGCAGTGGATGTCCACTGTAGCTATAAAAACTGAAAATAAATGCCACTCAGCATTCAATTCAGGAAACTAGAAAAACAGCAAACACACAGGAAAGTAGAAGTAGGCAATTAAAGCTAAAGTTGAAGTTGATGAATATGGAGTCAACAACAAAAGACATAATCAATAAAACCAAAGGCTTTTCGTTTGAAAAGATCGTTAAAATAGACCAACCTGTAGGAGGTCAGATCAAGCGAAAAATAAAGAAAACATGAACAAGAAAGATGATATAATTTCAAATTCAGAAGAGATTCAGTAATAAATAAGACAATACCATTTATAACTATAGCAATTCATTTGAACAGCTATATAAAATAAATGATTTTCTAAGTAAAAAATTGTTGAAATTCACTCCAGAAGAGGGAGAAAATCTGAATAACACAATAACCATGTAAAAGTAGTTAAAGACCTGTCTCTAAGAAAAGCACCAGACCAAGATGATTCTACTGGCAGATTCTGCCAAACTTTCAAGGAACATATAATTCCTTATTCTGGATAAGCTGTTCCAGAGCATGAAAAAAAAAGTAGGAAAAAGTAACTTTATGAGGTTAGCATATTTTTGATGTCAAAACAGAAAAGATAGCACACACAAAAAGTAGCTGTAGCTACCATCACGTACGTAGATAGATGGAAAATCAAAAAATAAAAAATAAGCAAATAGAATCCAACTTGCCATTAAAAGAATAGATTACCAGGACTACCTAGGGTTAAGTCTAAGAAACAAGGACAACAGTAGAAGTCTACAGATGCAATTTATTACATTAACAGGTGTCTCCCTTTTATTTTCATCAAAACTGCCAGTCAGGATTACCGATGACCTCCATTTTATAAATCTGACGGTCAGTTCAGTCCTCACTTTGCATCTCCCTCCTTTCTGGAAATTCCCTCCTCGCTTTCTTGCTGCCCTATAACTACTCAAGTCTGTCAGACTGCACTTTCTGCTTGAGTTGTAAGCACTGTGTATCAGTCAGACTCCGGAGTATGCTTAGGTGAAAAGCCACGTAAACCTAAATTTTACCCAATACAGTTCCCATCTTTTAGAATTTGACTCCTCCAATTCCTTCCTGCTTTTGGTCAATCTTTAGTGTCTCGAACAGTTGCTTTTAAAGTTTTTCCCAGAGTTTATCATTTTTACCTATGGCAAGCTGAGTTTGTACAGGCTAGCGTACCGTTACTGGAAGCTCTGCATCTCAGATTTATTTAAAGAATAGATTTTCTCTAGTGGGCGTATGTTTGACTTCTGGAGTCTCAAGCAAAGAATTTTCCCCATATAAAATTGTGAAATAAATTCCTCTAGCTGTGCAAGGAGCTGGCACCTCTCACTTGTGCAGTCGTTTTCAACGTGTGCTCCTTTGTTACTCACGCCTGCAATTCCAGTCTTCAGTGGCATTCAGGTTAGAGGGAGGTTAAATTCATTGAGCTTACGGTAGCTATTTGCAAAGTGTGATGAAAATTAGAAAGTTTACTAGAGAACTTTTCTGTTACGGCAGTAGCTCCTCAGATCTTTAAAAGTGGCTTATTTGTATTTTTCCAATAGACATATAGATATGTATCTTTATATAGCATTTTAAATAAAATTTTATATATCCAAATTTCTTGCATTTTAGGTTTTTTTGTGAAGGTGGCAATGTTTAGCTCAGGAGAGTTGATTTATAAGAAGAAGACACGCTTGCTGAAGGCCTCCAATGGAAGAGTAAAGTGGGGAGAGACTATGATCTTTCCGCTTATACAGAATGAAAAAGAAATTATTTTTCTCATTAAGCTTTATAGTCGAAGCTCCGTGAGAAGAAGACACTTTGTGGGGCAGGTTAGTAGGGAGTTTTTATTTGAATTCTTTCCTTTTACTTTTCTATGCATTTAATAAAGTTGGTTAACAAAGAGAATACAGGATAAAATTTAAGTTGGGTATAGTAAAATTCTTCAGTGTCATAAAATTCAATGTTGCCACCAAAATTAACTCTTGGCACACTTTTTGCTTCAATATAAATAGGTGGAATTTCTGAGCAATCAGGCTCTTAAGTCTTTTTCTGAGCTTTTCAGCTTTAAAGACTGTAAGATCGTTTTGTCAGTTCTGCTGACTTGTTCCTTGTCAAGGAGGGAACAGCAAGTATTTAAATCAAATTTCTTAAGGTTTTAGATATTCAACTTACTTTATTCTGTTTCAGGTTCAGTTTAATGTTTTAACTCTTTATGCTACTAACTGAATTATATTAGATTTGAATTCCTAGAAAACATCAATTTTAACAGCGGTTGTGGTATTATTTAGAAGGTCAGTGTTGGTTCTAGATTACCTTATTTAAAAATTCTTAGAAATTTGTATTAGACAACATGACACTTGCTCACTTGCCAATCCTGCAGGAACTTCTTTGCTTTTGTAGTTTCTTTCCTTACTCTCAGTGGATTAGTGGTATGTGTCCGTTATCTTTTATCTTAATTGCAATTGTTTGAGTCACGTTTAAATTCCAGAATCTCTATTATTGGTTTAAAAGCTTTTGCTTACCAGCAAGATGTTATTACCAGTCTGCATAAAATCGTCAAATTGTATGTGAATTTTCAAAGATTAATGTTAACTCTGACTCACTTCTTCATAGATTTTACCTAAAATAGTTGTAAAAAGTATTGTAGCTTTGTTGTCCTTCATTTATTCTTATATGGGAAAGAGTTTGAACTCAAGAATTGATGTAACTAACATACTCTTCAAAGCCATGAGGCCTGTGAAGTGAATTCAGTTAGTTTTCCTATATTGTCAAGCCTCAGCTATCACGTTGGAGTAGAGCAGATTTACTTGACAAATGATTGTCAGGGGAACAGCTTTGGTGGTTCCACTTTTTTGGTTGAGATTCTAGTTAAAAAGAATAATTCTGGAAAGGTTCCTGCTGATTGTCTGTTCCCTCCAGCTCGTTTGTTGCCTTAGCAGCCACCATGATGGGGCAGCCAAATGTGGACTCAAGGCCTCCCACTACTTTATCAATCGAAGCACTCTGATGTCATCTGTTTTTTCTATTAAGGTTCTTTGTAAGGTTTTATTTGACAGAAAAGTTCTTCAGACCAAAAAATGAAGGGAAAAAAGTTTGAAAACCACTAACCTGCTCCAATTTCTTTGTTTAAAAGAATTAGAAACTGAGTCTCAGAGAAGTTAATCCCAAAGTAACAGCATTTGTTAGTGCTATAGCTGAGGTGAGAATTCAGGCTTTTTGATTCCTTGCCCACCTTGCCTCCATGATATGTCACCATTGTGACGTCTTGCATTTGCATAATGCTTTACGGTTTTCCCAAGTTCATTCACATCTGTTATCTAAAGTTACATAAGTGATAGGTACTATGAATTATTTACTATGGATCAAGGATGACTATTAGATTTCAATTAAAATTATAGTTTTATTTAATGTAAAAGTACTTTAAAATGCACATTCCTTACCAATTTAAATTAAATCATGATTTGTGGGACCAGTTCTGCGGCCGAGTGGTTAAGCTCGCATGCTCTGCTTTGGCAGCCCAGGCTATCACCAGTTCGAATACTGGTCACGGACACGGCACCATTCATCAAGCCTTGCTGAGGTGGCATCCCACGTAGCACAACCAGAGGCACCCACAACTAGAATATACAACTGTGTGCTGGGGGGCTTTGGGGAGAAGAAGGAAGAAAAAAATAGAAGATTGGCAACAGATATTAGCTCAGGTGCCAATCTTTTTTTTAAAACAAAAATCATGGTTAGTCTCAGTTAATCTTTACAAAAATGTTTTTGAGTGACCAGGATCAATTTTAAGTTGAGCTCCTAGATTTATTGACTAAGAAAGGAAACTGTTTTTGGGGAAAATGATTTTGTAATATCACACATTGAATTTTTAGATTGAATTGAATCATATAACATAGTCTTTAGGGAAACTAAACAGGTTAAATGTTTTAACATTTAAGTTTCAAATAGAGAAATCAAACTTTTGGAAAAATGGAAAGATGTTTAATTGAAAATATGTAAACCAAACTTCCAGTTGTCTTTCCTCAATAAGAATAATTAACTGTTTGAACTCAATTACCGTTATTGTGTTAAGTTAAGTTATTGTATTGTTCCTTTACAGATTTGGATAAGTGAAGACAGTAATAACGTCGAAGCAGTGAACCAGTGGAAAGAGACAGTTACAAACCCAGAAAAGGTGGTTATCAAGTGGCACAAATTAAATCCGTCTTGAAGACTTCACACATTCATTTGGTGAAGAACTTGACGTTCTTTTAGAAGACTTATGGTTTCAGTTTCCTACCAATGAGAAGAGACAAATTAATGCATTTGTCGATTCATTTATGGAGGCCATAATTATAGTATATAATGGATCTGATAGAAAATTAAACTTGATAAAAAATGGGGTGAATTATATCAGATATCCCAAGTAGAGGAATTATTTTAAAACTGCTGAAATAGACAGTAAATGAAAGGATAGTATTCCTAGGGCAACTAAGTAAATTATGACATCAATGAGAATATCAGCCGCCGATAGTTATTGCTATATTATGTTTATGGGTTTCTTTGAAGCTTTACCTAGATATTCAAAATCTAGTGTATCAAGTCTCTTCTAGTACTTTTAGACATTTAGAAGACTTTCCCACCAACTGTTTCAGTGCTAGTCACCACTGATGAGATCTCGACTCCACCGTTTACCTTTTGTTACGTATTTTCTCTCAGAAAGCAAAAATGAATTGAACCACTTCAACTCGTCAGTACTTGAGGAAAGTTTGCGCCCTGTGTTTACCATTTCTTACATGTAAGGCATCACATTGCCACTTTGTAAGCTCTTTATCTCCAAGGAACTTCAGATATAGAGAACTATTTTGGCAAGAATAAATGAAAACACTGAAAGGTTTAATTGGAAACCCTGCATACACACATTTTGCATGTTTTCCTCCCGCAAGTAGTTTACTCTTTATTTTAATTGGAATTGAAAGAAGATCCTCATCCATATGGCCCATTATCATCTGTATGGCCCATCCTAATTAGCAGAATGAAATGAGCTTAAGTAGCAAATTCAATATTTTTTGATCATCACTTCCTTGTTTTTAGTTTTTTAAATATACATTGTTCTGTAATCCACAGCGTTGGAGTATTTTCCCATGTGTTTTAAATGATCATACATGATAGAGCAGAAAGTATTTTCTATCACAGTTTCTCTTAGGTACTCATAGAACTCGGTATGTGCAGGTAGCTTCAGTTTAGTTGGCCATACAAGCTATGGCCGAAAGAGCAGCTGTTTGGAAAAATGAGTAATGCCGTTCCTGATCTTGGAAAATTTGACTTAATTTTTGCTAATGAGTAGACCAAGTGCTCTGTGTTCATGTCTTCCATTTTTCTTCCTCTCTTACCTGACCCACACGTGCCAAGAGATAGATGGTGATGTTTTAGGCCAGAAATATCCTTTATGATAGCTTAAGCACACCCTCTTCATTCCAGTCCTTAAGTTTTGTGTATCTCATTAAGATTTTCCCAAATAAACACTGAATTCCCCTTTTCCTGGGTACCACCTCCTCAAGCTGCAAAATGTACATACTTTGCATGCCCCTTGCTTCTACTGCCTAGAGTGTATGGTATTCTGGTGGTGTTGACAGGTATCTGACACTGTGCATTGTAAAATAATTTTTTTTAGATTTGTGAAAAATGGCATATTGGTCATTACTCACATGGACTTTTAAGAGAAATCACCTTGTGTGGTAGTATTTTGAATCTTTGAGACAAATGGCAACTATTAAAAAAATTATTTTTAAATAGACTTTATTTTTTAGAGAAGTTTTAGATTCACAGCAAAATTGAGAGGAAGGTACAGAGTTCCCATATATCCCTGACCCCCCCAAGCACAGCCTACCCCACTATCAGCATCTCGCATTAGAGTGGTGCATTTGTTAAAATGAATGAACCTACATTGACCCATCATCACCCAAAGTCCATAGTTTACATTAGGGTTCCCTCTTGATGTTTTACATTCTCTGAGCTTTGACAAATGCATAACGATGTGCGTCCACTACCAAAGTTCCATACAGAGTTGTTTCACTGCCTAAAAACCCTCTGCAAATGCAACTACTTCAATAGCCACCACAGAAGTAAATGTTTTGGCTTTTAGATAATAAATAACAGACTTCATTATTTTAAAAAATCTAGAATTTCATTTGAGCAGTTTTTTGTGTTCTATTAATGCTTTTAATAGCTAAATTTATTATATGTAATGTATTTAACTCAATTTTTAGTTTATTTAACTTTTAATATTTTTTCAATATGTATATAATGTATAATTTGAGGGAAAGCTATGACTTCTTGGTTTCTTATATGTCTTAGAATCCTAGGTAAATAAAACAATTTAAAGAAAACCTTTTCATTCAAAAGACCTTTCAGTTAGATAAGTATTGACACAACTAAGATCTCAGATATTTTAATTAGTGTTTACTTGAGCCTTTTTTGGGTGAAGGGTACTGAGTACAGATGATATTCTGGTTGTTTCTTTGAAGCTTTATGTAAAAATACAAAAAGAAACACACTCTTCTGTTAATAGCTACTCATGAGAAAAAATTAGACGCTGATAATAAAAAATGAGATACTATGCAAAAATCCTTTCTCTTTGTATTTGCATAGGCTTCTCTTGACCTTCACCCACTTATAAGAAGGAGAAAAGAACCAAAATGATGCTGGATGACCAGAGAAAGCCATGGAAGGGTTCACATTGATAGCTGGTAGTTTGCACAGTGCTAACTCTAACAGTGTATTTATTTATTTATAAGCTTTCCGATTAATACAATTAAATGGCTGCAGCCCACGTTAAAACATAACATCACTATTTGGCTTTCCTTTGGTTTTACGTGATTTTTTTAGAACTCCTAGAGAAATTACCACTGAAGTGTACCAGTTCAGCTCTTATCAGACTGTTAAGAAGGAACCAGTGGGATGTTGAACATATATTATGTAATTGTGGTCTGAAAATAACCTAAATTTTTGAATTTAGGACTGATGTTTGAATACAGTTATGTGAATTTCTCTGATACTAACGTACTGAAACTGTATTTCCCAGCAAAAATTTCCATCATTTCTTTAGTCAAATTGGTTATTTACATTTATTTAGTCAAATTGCTTATTTATGAATGATTTCAGGAATTTTCAGTCAATTTCAACTTTTTATTGCATGGCAGCAATGGATATTTCAAAGATATACATTTCCTTTGGTGTTTCGTAGGGTATATTGGAGGAAAGACCAGATAAAATATGTATCTAAAATAGTTATGAGAACACTGTATTAATCAGGGTTTTCCAGAGAAACGGGACCAATAGAAAATATATATATATTTTTTACTATGAGGAATTGGCTCGTGTGTTTATGAAAGCTGAGAAATCCCATAATCTGCCATGCAAGTCAGAGACCCAGGAAAGCTGGAAGGATAATTCAGTCTGAATTCAAAGGCCTGAGAACCAGAGGAACCAATGGTATAAACCCCAATCTGTGGGTAGGAGAAGATATTTTTCCATTCAAGCAATTAGGCAGGAAAAGAGGGGCAAATTCCTTCTCTCCCTTTTGTCTATCCAGGCCTTCAGCAGATTAAAAGATGCCCACCCACACTGGAGAGAGCCGTTTACTGAGTCCACTGATGCACATGCTAGTCTCGTCCGGAGAAACCCTCACAGACGCACCCAGAAATGGTGTTTAATCTGGGCACCCCTGGCCAGTAAAGTTGACACATGAAATTAACTATGATAGACACTTGCTGGTATTCTCTTGAGGCTTCAGCTATGCTTGTCCAACAATAAATTTCAAATGCTTGAAGTGTTACCTGAAACATTGAATTGAGGAAAGAATGATGAAAGGTGGGTGCCAATCAAGTGCGATGTGCATTTTGAAATACAGATTTAAGACTAAAAAAGATATTAAAAGAGTCAGTGTAGCCCTCCAAAATTGCGTTGTATTTTATGGATGATGAATTATCTGAAGATGAATGCTACCTACATTTTCAGTAGTTTCCTAGTGGAAAATGTTTTTTAAATAAGTAATTACTGATTTTTAAATTTTTTCAAGTATGAAAAATCTGATCCCTAAAATAGCTATATTTTATTAGTTGTTAAAACTGATAACCAAATTAAATCATACGACTATAACTGTGTTAACTATATGACTATATTAAATCATAGGGCTCTGATAACAGAGGAGATGTCTAGAAAGAAAGTTCTGTACATCTTCTCAGATGGCTAAAATGTCTCTGATTCTATGCTGTGCTAAGTCACTGAACGAGATGTGTGTTTTAGATATGTGTTTAGATGATGTTTATTCAGTCTTGATTTTCATATTCTCATGCTGTGGAATTCGTTTTCTGGGTCACAATTTTGTAGTTTCTGAAGCAGCAGGATGATAAAAAATATCTACCCTTCGTGATAGGACTAAATTTATTTTAACAGAGATAAGTTTGGTGGACTGTGGCTCTTAATTGTCTTTTAGTTCAATTTCTGGGTCCTTAATCTTTCTTGATTATACAATGTATGGAAACTTAATCTTGAAACAACTAAATTTTTAATTGAGCTATTTTATATATTTAATAATTAAATGCAAAAAAATCTATATAGTTCTCCATGCAAAGAACACTTCTAGGTACTTTCAGGGGTACAAAGATGAATAAGCCATCACTCTTTACCCTGGGGTTTTATATTTTAGTAGAGAAATAATATAAAGCAGAAATGTAGTAAAAAGCAGGATTTGAGGTATGGACAAAGTGCTTTAGAGGCCCAAATAAAGAATTAAGTGCAGCTGAAGGAATTAGGAAAGGTTTGGTATGGCCCTGATCTGAAGCACACAAATCAGGCAGATTGGTAGCACTATGAATTCCTGATCACTGAGTCTGCCTAACTAGCAATCTTACTTCATTTCTTTTGTCAGCTGACTCGCTGTGAAAAAGTTTATTCTCCCTTCCACTCTCTTCTAACCTTCAATCCACCTGCTCCTTTCTTTACTCTTCGTAGATCTTATTTTGTGCTTTACAAGGAAAGCAATGTCAGGCATTCCTTCAACTTCCCACCGTCATATCCACAAGCTGATTTTTGCCTATATCCATCTTCGGTTGTGTTAGAAAGTCAGCCCTTGCTTGTGAATTCTGGTCCAAGCCTCTCTGCTTTTTCAGGGATCTCATTGTATTTATTGTGCCTGTTCTCTCCTGTTTCTTGAACCTCTTCTTCTCTGCTTTATTCTTCTTAGCATCATCAAAACCTCCCTGGTGCATGCATGACTGTCTCAAAATAGGTTGGTGATGCGTTCAATGGAAAGAACTCAACACACCATAATGTGGGGGTTAGGTTTCTGCACTGATGAAGGGACCTCTGGAAACATAATGCAGAGTCACGGCAGCGCACTCCCTGTGGAGATATGTCTTCCCAGGTCCCCAGAGTTCGCCCTGGGGCAGGCTGCTGTGAACGAGTCTCCATGTGGCCAGTGAAGATTCCCAGAAGCTCTTTTTGCATTCTGACAGGACTTTTTATTCTTTCCTCATTTTCCTTCTCCCACCTGACCATTCATTCCAAGCATAGCCTTCATTTCTGCTTACTTGGCAGATGTTAGTAACTAGTAGAAAATATTCCCAATAAATTCCTGAGTACTTACCAAGAATTTAAACGCTATAATACCCCAATGAACAGGAGGGTTAGTTTCTCAGCATACGGTCTCTTAGGTCACCTACGCTCCAGACCTCTCTGGTCTGTTTATTTCTTCTAAAAAATTCCTAGACCTCCCACTCTGTTCTAGATTCTGCCTTATCCAGTCTCCTCTTTATAGATAATTTCTGACCGTTCTTAGCCTATTCTCTTCAGCCCCCTCCCCACCACTCCACTGAGCCTCATGCCAAAGTCTTCACAAGTGCTTTGCAGCTGTTTTTTTTTATTACTCATCAACTTTATTAACAATAGACCTCTCCCTGCTTCTTGAAACTGTTGCTTCCCTTAGCTTTCCTGTCATTATGCTCAGCTTGTTGTCTTATTACCTTTCTAGCGTTTCCTTTTCTTTCTTATCTGTTGGCTCATCTTCATGCCCTTGACCTTTAAAAATGGGGAGTTCTTCAGGACTTAGTCCTAGACTGTCTTCTGTTTTCATTCTGCATTGTCCCTTTGGGCATTCTCGTCTCTCCCCATGGCTTAAAATGCTATTTACTGACTAAAGGCTGCTAAATTTCTGTCTTGACTCAAATCTTGCTTATGAGCCACACTATCGTATAGCTAAGGTGAACATCTTTTCTTGAATGTATCCCGACCCAAACTTATAATTTTCCATTCCTACCACAAATCTAGCCTGCACTGTTCCCCATCTAAGTAAAAGGAACTATCCGCCTGGTTGGTCATCCCAGAACCCTAGGAGTCACCTTGGCACACCACTCTCTCTCATCTCCCATACTCAGTGTCACCCTATTTAGAAATGTACGTCCTAAGTAGATGTTGAATCCACCCCCTTCCCTGTCTCCACTTTAGCTTCCCTAGTCAAAGACAACGTCATCTCGCACCTGTAGTGCTGTACTTTCTCCATAATTGGTCTTCCTGCCTCCCTCTTCTTCCTCTCTAGTCCATTCTCCACCCAGCAGCCAGAGTGATACTTTTAAAATGCAGATCTGATCATCACTCCTTATTTCCCATTGTTCTTGGTGTGAAGTCCAAAATCCTTAACATGGTCTACAAAGCCCTGCATGGTCTGAGCTCTGTCTTCCATTCCAGCCTCTTGAACTACTCCCTCTGATCTGTTTTCACTTCTTGGAAGACAGTACATGCCCAGCTCCCTCAGGATCTCTACACACGTTGCTTCATCTATGTGGAATAACTTTCCTCTTCACTCTTCCCTTGGCTAAACCCTAAGCTTTTTTGGGTGCTAGCTTCAATGTCTATTCCTCAGAAAAGTATTTTTTTTTACATCTTAGGCAATGTTGGATCCTATTTTCATATACTTTATAATTTCCCATTATAGGTTTTATCATAATTGTGATCAAATAATTACATAAATTTTCCTTAATGTCTCTCCTGCACTGCAGTTTCCATGAAAGCAGGGTCATGTTTATTGCTTCATTCCTGAAGTGAACTCAGTACCTAGCACGTAAGAGGGACATAGTAAATATTTGTTTATTCATTAATTTAACTGATAGGCAGTGTTTTGACTGTTAGGGATATAGTAGTGAATAAACAGAAAAAACTGAATGAATACATTGAGTCATGTTTTATTGCTCAGTAAAGAGGTAATTAAAGGCCAGTATCTTTTAATTGGGAGAGATAATGCTGGATTGTACATTTACTGTTAAAGTTCATTGACGCATTTCTTTATTATAGAAAGGAGAAATATGATAGCCTTATATCTCTTTAACTCACACTATGAGTTATGGCCTAGAAAAAAATTTTCTGAACCTCTGAACAATGTTTATAATACATAGTTAACGCTAAATTTCATATATCGCTGAGATATGCATCAGATTTTACCTTATTGTTGCTGTTAGCAGCTTACTGTGTGTCATTACCAAGCACAGAAGTTGTACTGGCTTATTTAAAACATTTGGTTTTTGCAGGGAACCAGTTAAGTTTGATTCCTATATAAAATAGGCCAGATACTTAGATTATGTCCAACTTTGAAAATTTCCTGTAAGATGTAGATAACCTGTTTAAGTTGTTTACCAGCTTAAACAAGATTCCTAAGACTTCTGTAGGAAAGAAGACTAGTAGAAGATTGGTTAGGTGACAATTCTCATCCTGGAACGATAGAATGAGAATTTTGGAGACCTTTTCTGATAGAATTTAAGAAGGATTCAGAGAAGAGGCTGGAAGAGAAGCAAGCCTAACCCCATGTTCATCCCCATCTCGGTACTAAGGCCATGTCCTCACAGATAGTGAGGCTGGAGAAAAGCAAGGTGGGGAGGATTGCTGAGTAGTGCTTTCTTACTTGTGATGTAAAAGGAACCCTAGGAAGAAGAACAGAAAGAAGAGAGGCCTGTAAGAGGAAGGAAAGCTTATGGAGAACAGTTAAGGATGGAAGAGTAGGAACTCCCGGCGAGGTGCCTGTATGCTTCCTAATACAATATACTCTTTCTTTTTACGTAAGACACCTTGTCCTAACTCATGCTTCCTTCAGAGGAGTGCATACGGAACTCTTCACCTGTTCCCCCCTCTCCTTCTTTCCCTCCACCCTTCCTCCCTCTCTCCCCTCTCCCTGCTGTCGCCAAAACTCATGCTCAAATTTTGTTTCCTTTGTAGAAAATATGAACACTTTTTGGGTCTGTGTAATAAGATCATTGACTCTTGTGTCTGGAAAAGACCTGCAGAGTCCTCTAGCGTAGATGCCCATCTACCTAGAACACAGGGCGGTTCATACAACCAACATTTATTCGGTAGCTGCTTTGTGCCCCTCATTTTAGGGGCTGGAAATACTCCTAACAAACAAAAACTTTGCCCTCATAGAGCTTACATTAGAGTGAATACATCAGTACACATGGAATATTTCCACGTAAAGTTGATGGATATCTTACAATGAATGAGCAAATAGAAGATTGGAAAATCTGTTCCGGGTCTTTCCTTCTGTATGACTTTCATAGGCTAGATGTCATCATCTAGTTTCTGTCTATCTTAGTTTACTCCAAATGCTCATGCTCATAGTATATTTATGAGTTATCTAGGTTTTTTTTTTTTTTTCAGAAAAAGCTACATTTAAAGATTGTTTTCCTTGAGCTACTCTAAGCTAAAACAGGACATACCTATATATCAAGTGACCATTTAAAAAGAACCACCGTAGAATTCTGAACCTAGGGCAGTATTGTGATTATTGTAAGAACAACCCTCTTGCAAATCCGTTTTCGTCTGGGTTACTGATGTGTTTGGGTTTTCTTGGCTTTAAAAGATAGTAGAGATGAGGTTGACTTTCTAAATGTGATGTTGTTTTTATTGACTTTAGACAAAAAAGACAGTGGACATCTTTGTATTGTAGATTATTTTTAGAGTATCTGGGAAGGCCAAAGAGAAAATATGTTCATTTTTCTGCATTTGCTTTTTCCGTGTGTGTGTGTGTGTGTGTGTGTGTCTGTGTTCATCTCTGTACTCCCCAATGTAGTCACACATGTTAATCCTTTTCTACGCTTTAAGACCAGAAGATAAAGTAAGGAAAGGCAAAAAGGATCATAAATATTTTCTTAAAATGTTAAAACTAGATCGTTTGTTAACTAAGTACAGTTTCTTCTCTGGGACACTGAAAAAGTACTTGAGTCTTTTCTAAAAACGTTTCTTTTGTTCTTAAAGATATTTTGATTTATTTGAAGCATTCGGGCAAAGCAAAAGGAAGGATGGGCTTTAGAGGGAAATGGTGACATCGGGGTCAAGAAGGTCACATGAAGTGGTAGGATTTGGCTTATGGTGTGTGTGTGTTTGCACATGTGACACACATGTCCTTTATCTGGTAGAATTAGAAAAATGACATCTGTTTTCTTGAAAGTGAGGGGAGTAAATGATTCCAACAGGATTAGAAGTGTGATGGAAACATTATGACGGATTTGATCACAATCAGGTTTGTTTTTTTCCCCAGCCCAGAAAACACTAAGCTTGAGAAATAACAAAGGGGAAAAGTTTCCCCTTTCCTAGTCCAGAAGAAAGAAAGTTGCAGAAACAACAGAACAGGAAAATGTTTGGAATGATGCCTTTGTTTTTTTGGCTTAGAGTAGATGGTTCTAATGGGCAGGAGTTACTCATTGCGTCTAGAATTCTCTCTCTGCTGTGTACATAATAAATAAATGTTCTACGATTCCTCGCCCTGGTTCCTTCTTGAAAGCTGAGAGAGTTAAATTTTTTTTCCTTGCTTCCCTGGCATGCCTGAGGGAAAGGACACATTTCAATCACTAAGAGTAAGTCACAGTGGCAGTAATTTGCACCCAGGTTGTGAATCTTGAAAAAAGCCCCGTGGGTGATTTTGTTATACCCCTATAGAATTATTAAAGTAGGTAGACCATAGTGAAATTCATACACATACTTTGGCTTTGTAGTTTGGGGGAGTTTTTTTCAATTATTTTTTATTGTAGTAAATAGACATAGCATAAAATTTACCATCGCAACCATTTTTAAGTGTACGGTTCCGTGGTATTAAATATATTCATAATGCTCCGCAGCCACCACCACCATCCGTCTCCATAGGTCTTTTCATGTTGTAAAACTGAAACCATATCCCCATTAAACACTAACTCCCCATCCTCCCTCCCCACAGCCCCCGGCAACCACCATTCTGCTTTCTGTCTCTAGGATTTTGACTACGCTAGGTCTCTCGTGTAAGTGGAATCATACAATATTTGTCTTTTTGTGACTGGCTTTTTTCACTTAGCGTAATGTCCTCAAGATATGCCATGTTGTAGCATATGTCAGAATTTTCTCCCTTTTTAAGATTGAATAATGTTCCATTGCATGTATATACCACATTTTGCTTATCCATTCATCTGGCAGTGGACACTTGGGTTGCTTCCATGTTTTAGCTACTGTGAATAATGCTGCTACAAGCAGGGGTGTACATATATTTCTTGAGGCTCTGCTTTCAATTCCTGTGGGTATATACTCAGAAGTGGAATTACTGGATCATATGGTAATTCCATTTTTAATTTTTGAGGAACTATCATACTATTTCCCATAGCCGCTAGACCGTTTTGCGTTCTGACCAACAAGGTGGGAACAAGGGTTCCAGTTTTTCCACATCCTCACTAAGACTTGCTATTTTCTGTTTTTATGATAGTAGCCATCCAAATGATGTGAGGAGGTATCCCATTGTAGTTTTGATTTGCATTTCCCTAATGATTAGTGATGTTTAGCATCTTTTCTTGTGCTTATTGGCCATTTGTGTATCTTCTTTGGAGAAATGTCTGTTCATGTCCTTTGCCCATTTTTGAATTGGAGTGTTTTTTTAAATTGAGCTTTAGGAGTTCTCTGTATGTTCTGGATATTTCTCCCTATCAGATGTATGATTTGCAAATATATTCTGTGGGGTGCCTTTTTATTCTGTTGATACTATGTTTTGATGCACAAAATTTTTAAATTTCCACTAAGTCCCATCTGTCTATTTTTACTTCTGTCCCTTGTGCCTTTGGTATCACAGCCAAGAAACATTGCCAAATCCTAGGCTATGTAAGTTTTATCTTCAAACAGTCCACACATTAAAATATAATTTATCATTTTGAATTTCTTGAGCACTTTTTCCTTGTTAATATTATTGTATAGATATTTTTTATGGCCCAGGAGTGAGGAAAATAAACCGGGTACATATATTTTGTTTTTAAAATCAGGATGTTGGAAGTTGCTAATCTTTTGTTCTTTGGGCCACATTTGGAAAACATCAGTTTAATCACCCAAATTATTCCTTTCGAAACTAAAAATAATTCTTTTTAGGGCCTTGTGTGATTGCTGTCACTTGCCACAAGACAGTAGATGAAGTTGGTTGCTGTTTGAGGTGGGAGGTGGGAATAACTTCGGGGGACCGAGGCGGCTCAGGACGGCGTCACCTGAATGAAGTCTCTGAGTGCGGCATCTGGGCCCGGTTTTGCAAGGCTTGAATTCTCATTCTGTCAGAACACTAATAAATGAGTGGAATTGGCTTGGCTACAAAAGCTTTCCAAAGTCTGGTGGACAAAGTACAACAGTGGTTTACTAATTTCTAAAGAGAGGGTAGTCCCTTCTAACGACAGAACTATTGCTGTCTGCCTTCATGATCAACCTCTGTTTTGTGTCAAGGCACCTAGTGATTTGAATTTTAGAAGCCAGATGCATGTTTGGAGAGCATGACGTCAAAGCAGAGGGAAGTGGATTGTAGACAGAGGTATGTTTATCCAGGGTCTGGTGCAGCTGGTTTGACGGCAGGCTGCTGAGGGTCCTCACCGCCTGATGCCCACGGTTAGTGTCTCTCTCCTGCAGAGTACAGGACTCACACGGTGAATTCTGCCTCTTTGATTGTCCCTTTTTCTGTATGTCATTCTAATCGTCCCCACCCACTTACAGTCTTTGGCCAGGCAAGTTATTATCTAATTGATGAGGCTTCACCTTGCTAAGTTACAATCACATTTTCTGATTTCTCCCCGACACGGCCAGGTCCTCTGAAGTGCACTTTTAGGAATTCCCCCACCGTTTGTTAATACATAAATGTATGTTTGGTGATATGTAAATGAAGTGTCCGGGTTTGTAGTTTTTGTTCTAACA